TAAGAAGTGTATGCAGCAAGGGTGAACAGATGGGTCTGAGAAATGATGCATACAGCAAGTATGGTGGAAACTTAACAGTCCGTCAGTGGGCGCGGTAGGCACTCGTAGGTGACTCCAATGATTACACTGCGTAACAAAAAATTATTTTCTATAACAGAAATACCGATGTCTCTACCTTATAGAATACACTCCACTGATTGTAGAAATGTATTCCGATGTTACCTAACACGTCAGGTTACACTGTTATAAGTAAGTGATTATTTTCAGTAATGTCAAGGCTACGTCGCACGAAGTATATGCGAATGTACCAAATGACAGCGTATACAGAATGCATCTATGTGGCGAATACGTTTAAAACAACACTACAGCGCTCGCCCCTAACTATTGACTGCAGCTACGCACTGGGGAATGATGACTTCGTCGAGATCGTTGTTTGTATGATCCAGCGCTCTCACGATGCAGAAACCAGCAAAAGTCTCCCGCTATAGAAGGCGTGTACTTGCCACTTTAAAACTGCTTCATGACTGAAACGTCTTGGTGAAAGCGCTCATCATGCTCATCGCTAACAGACCCCAAGTTCTCAGGGAAAAAGTCATGGTGATTACGCATAAAATACATCTTGAGTGACATTCGAGCACTAACAGCTTGATAGTGCGAAATGAGCTTTCTGTTCAACCCAAAATCATGTACACGCTGCCTTGAATGATCTCCACGCTTCCAACTCAAATGAAGTCAACTGGCATTCGACAGCACTGTCTGCCATTATCCGGCGAGCCCAATAAACATCCCTTCTTTGAGCTTCGCATCACTGATTTTCGGAAACATCTGTTTCAGTTACTGAAATGCAAAAGCATCTCGCCTGTGGGCTTTGGACGAATTTTTAATGAAACCAAGCTGGATGTGCAGGGGCGGTACATCAATATGATCAGGGTGCACAAGAGGTGTATGCTTTACACTTATTTTCCTTGCAGCATACTACGTCCTCTCCGTCCACTTTTCGGTTGTGTAGTGCCATTGAGTTGTTCTACTGTTCCGTAAGCACAAGAAACTGCAATATATTGTGAAGCCTCCTTGCATATCCATCAGGAGTCCAATGACTTTGAAGTCAACATAAATGTACAAACAGTGCGTATTGTAGTTCAGTTCAGCGAGTATCTGTTGCATAATTCCGCAAGTCTCCTTCATATTAATAGCATGCAACAGAGGCACAGTTGGGTACACATTTCCGTTGTGGAGCAGTATGGTCTTAAGACTACTCGTGGATGAGCCAATGAACAAACGCCATTCATAACTGTTATATCTCACGCCAGCCTCCTTTATCAATCCTTCCAAGTCGGAACTGTAATAAAAGGTTTCTCTCGTCACATAAAAACCGGAAAATTAAACACTTCGCTTTCTGTATACAGTAACCTTATAGTAGGAGAACAGCTATTAGACATTCATTTATTGTGAACGAGCTTGATAGCTATTCTTTACTCTTCTTAGTTTCAATTTCTTGACTGTTGTTTAAACGCTCTACTGGGTTAGCCCGACTGGTACATCCACGTCGTTGTTAATGGACGCTTATCGTCATGTCCTTCTCAGCAGCGCCATTTGAAAGAACATATTCTATTGTTATTTTTCTTCTCATCACTGTTCTACTTGGTTATGTTAAAGGAATATTTAGTTGTCACACAATTATTGTACTAGTTTCAACTTTTGGGTCTGCATTCCTTATTCTCGGTTGTTTCGTGACGTTTGTTTAAACGTTTCATTTCGTCATTCTGATTGACCAGTGCCCGTCACTGTAAATGGACGTTCGCTTTACGCTTGGAGTCCCATGATGCTATTTTTAAGGACATATGCGATTCGCTCTTGAGTACACGGTTGCTTATTTGCCGTTGCATTTGACGTTTTTCCTTCTGTTGGTTGGCTCAAGTGTACTTTAGTAGCTTCCCTTCATTTTGCCCTCAAAACTATATAAACAACTGTGGTTTCATGTATACAAGTCTCCTGCTGGTTCGTCTTGGACTTCTTCTTGCGGTCGTGGGGTGAAGGCGTCAGCGGCGACACAACATCTTAGTGTTTGCAGCAAGTAAGTGCCACTCCTACAGCCAAGATGCTAGCAACTCGGCCTTGTCTTTGAGCAAGCCCAAGTCACGCACCAAGTAATTCAGCTCTGATTGTTCAATAAAGTGTGGGTTGACACCATCAGCTCCAAAGTGTTCACAGATATCAGAAGTAGAGGAAGTTGACGGTGCAGAATCACCAATCATTATCAATGAGATGTTGTTCACTGGAGACGCTGGAATGTGTAAGGCGCAATCATGAGGAACAGGTGGAAGAGCTGATGGAAGAGCAGGTTAATGCGTTTTGTCCTTGTTTCCGTTGGAGATTCCAATAACACTGGTTAGGCAGAAGTAGCAGTCTGTTGTGTGATTCTTCGGCTCCCTTCAAACCAGGGAGATTGCCACTGAGTCAGATGAAGACTGCACGATGCACAAACAATATGCAGCGCCCACTTATTATCCTGACCTCTTAGATTAATCCCGAAATATGCGTGGTAGGCAGACTTCAGTAGAGAAGAAATGGGTCTGCACTGCGACTTTGTAGTAAACTGTCCACGGAGGTAACAACAATGATTTCGGTCATTAATGCCGCAGCATCTTTGAGTCATGATCAAGATAACAATTAAGGAAACACAGCTCTTAATGGATTTTCAGTATCAGGTGGATACCATAGCCAAGAGGACATATGTTAACGATTACAAGGAGCCAATGGTGTAATCACAGGCATGGAACACACTGCCTGGCTGAAATAAAAAATCGAAATAAAACACCCGAAGTGACAAAAACATTTGGTTTGCCTATTCACAATCAGCTCACTTGGTACCACTAGAAACATCCTATCTCATTGCTGTTATAAAAATGATGTTACACAGTTTTATCAGACGTTTGGTTGTGATACAGTGAGTTTCTCCGTTGATTGCTTAACTGGACCAAAGGAATAACAGGCACTGGCCCAGAAAAGTTATTTCTATTGGAAGCAGACCAACAACATACATTGGAGCGATTTGTGCGTCAAAAGTGAAACCACATGTACTAGCTTGTCTTTGCTAAATAGATCATCTGTCGCTAGAGGATCGGCTGGTCCGTAGCCCTAGGTATAACGAGCTTTCCTTTTTGTCTAAGGGCGCGGGTTCGGACTTGCGCAGGTACCGCGCGACCCTCGCAGTATGCTCGGCCGATGTGCTGCTGCTAGTGATGGTGGGGCAGCGAGGCGTCGGTACTGCGTACCGGCGTACTGTTGATGCCTTTTATATAAAAAATCGATCCTTGCGACGACCACATCAGCGTTTCACCCAACTTGACGCACCATGGATAGACAATACACGCTGAGAGAGCCTGCTTGCGTGAGAGCGGAGTATGTGACCAGGCAAGCGGACAATTGCAACTCAACATGCGTCCCAGCGAGTGATACCAAACACAAGCACAAGGAGGATCACGTAAAGTGCAACTTGAGAGCAGAAACGCACCAATAGCATTTAGTACAGTCGTCGGTTGCGTGATTTTAACCGCTAAGGTAGCGATTATCCCCCCTCGAGTCTTATGCCTTCCAACGTAGCGTGAGTGAAACAGGGGCTTTTCCGACACACAGTGAAAACACTGAAGTGCGGAGGACTCAGTTGCTATGAGGAGAAATTTAACAACCATGAAGAAAGAGAAAGTAGAAACAGAATGCAAGGGGAAAGGAAAACAATAATGGGATGCATTTTAAGTTGGAAGGTAAAAACCCGATGAGTGGGAGCGGCGTGCTTGCTTGCAGACTGTGATTTGAAAGCCATGCAATTGAATAGAAAAGCAAAGAATAGAGGTAGAGAGATTGTAGAAGGATAGCAAAGTCGGCCTGTAGCGTAGTGGTAACGAGCTTGTCTCGTAATCTGGCGGTGCGGGTTCGAATCCGCGTAGGGGTATACTCAGCCCGCGTGCGACTAGTGGTGGTCGCACGGTAGCGAAGCGCCGTTACGGCGTACACCTGACACATTATTTTCTGTTTTCAGCAGAGCTGAAGGAGTAGCATCTGAGGAGAGTAAATTTTGGATTGCTTTTGATTCACCGACTACGTTACCACACAGAGCTCAGATATGAACGACCATGAGGTTTGCATTCGGGGAGACAATCAGGTGCATAATGTACCTATACGTCAGCACACAATCACCCCTAGGTCTCATCTACTCAGGCGTAAACATGACACGCTGAGAGAAGCAGCAGACAGTCAGGCGATAAACGGGACCGAATCAGCGTGGATAACACAAGCTTGCCATGGTACCTGCTGTATAATTGGATAAGTAGTTACCAGATCGATCTAGCGGATCTCTCTGACACTCATAATCCGGTGGCCCCATTCTTAGACACCGGTGGCTAGGGGACGAGTATACTTGTGTACCTGTATGGTGAAATGAATGCGTGGTTTCAGTGCAGTACTGCACATCTGTATTAGAGTGTGAAGAGGGTAATTCGGGAAACTACATAAATAAATAAAGTTTTATTCCCGACTATGTGAGACAGGAATGACTGAAATACGTGCAACCTGACCACTGCCCAGGTAAACGAAATTGTCCATAACTGCGAACAGTGGTTCGGCAAAAAGGTGAGAAGCATAAATGAGAAAATTCGGCCCACCAGTGACACTCCCCAGGATGATCGTCTAAGTTGCATGCTAAAGTGAAAGCCAGCGCCACACGAACGCGAAGTATACGGCCCCAGCTTCTGGGCACTAATTAGCTGTGGTTGAGGGTACATCACACATTCCAATGTGCCTCTTCTTGTGCCGCCTGCATCCTACCAGTTTGAGCACGTTGTGGATATTGTCATATTATAGAGGTCAAAGAGGGCGTGTCATTGCAACAAGTAATTATATCACACTTTTAAAAATACACTTGAAAGTTCGGGTATGTCATAGATGAAGGAAGAAACCGAAGTGCCAGAAAAAGAACATAGTGACGACCATGGAAAACTCACCAAGGCTGCGGAACACGGCCAGGAATCAACAGTTGCGGGGCAATCTGGTATAGCTCGCTTAGGGAACTCGGTGGACAGAGAGGCCCTCGGTAGTTGCATCTGTTGAAGCGCAGGAGGGATTTGGTCAAACAATCGAGATGGGTGCGGTGACATCACCGAGGCGGACATTGAAGTGAGTGAAAGAGTAGCGGGCGGCGTCGGACGCAGCGTTGAGGATGAATGAGATGAAGGATTGATCAGCTTGGGGAAGACGACCTGCTGCCGTGACGTCCCACTGAAAACTGGATTGTGTGTGCGGTTGGAAGAGGGAGTGTGTAATCCAGCTAGCAACGTAGAGTCCATTAGCGAGCCGGAAGTTGGTGCAATGGGTAACAATGGAGGCGCTGTGGATACCTGAGTTACAAAACAAGAGTCGGAAATCAGTGCCGGAACAAGACCAATAAAGACATGGATGTGCTCTACGTATTAAAAGAATCGAGATTATTGGTTTAAGCTCGATCAAGTCTGAGCGCTCCAAATCGCGAACAGAACGCAAATGATAATGAAAAACGAAACGCCCGCAAAAACTAGTTAATTAAATGATAACATAAAGGACGACCAGAAGAATTGAGACCAATAAAGTCGCAGAGAAATGAGACTGGTTATCCCGTTTCAAGCTGGCCAAGTTCAAGCAGAATGAAGTGCAGAGCCTTTTAAACGTCCAACACTGTGAAGATTAAGCTAAGACAGAGAATATAGGAAATAACTCAGCCCTGGTCACTTTCCTCATAATGTTTTGTCAACTCACGAAATAGTAACTCTATACTCTCACCTGATTGGACGATATTGGTAAACAGCACATGTCGAGATAGACAGCTGACGAGCACCCGATAAACGTAAGCGCCAACCAACGTGGTATGGCGTCGGGCATGTTGGCAAACATCATATAGTGGGCCTCAGCAGGTGTTTACTCGGTGGCCATAATGGGATAAAAATGACGCTGCGCTGGTAACGGTGGTCACCAATCGCAAATGGTTAGACTTTGATGCACACGGTAACGAAGGCAGTAATTCAAGGGACAGCAGTTGGGAACTCTGACGCATGAAAATAGCGGCATTTGAGCCTACAGACAAGGCCCCATAACGTTTGGTATAGTGCTTCGTTATAAAACACCAGTATCAATGCTGTAAGTCCACTGGATGTTTTCGACATAAGCTGAAGCAACAGAGGCAAATCCGAAGTTCCGAGGGGAGAATGAAGGAGTGGCCTAAAAGAAAGGCATCAGAAGTACGCCGGTACTGCGTACCGACGCTTCGTTGCCGTGTGGGCTAGGGATACTGCGATGGCCACCCGGTTTTATGAATGCTCGAGCCCGCGCCCTCAGATCACAAGGTAGGCCTGTGATAATTTAAACCACGGGCCTTACAACATCCAACGTAGAGTATAAAACGAGACAAGGACATTTGAGGGGGGATACACAACATATGTTCTAGCTAACGCAGCTTATACCGCTTCACTTATCAATCGAGCGGAATGACTTGGTCACCAAGTTATAGTACTCACCGGTAGGCATTTTCGTTGCGGACAAACTGGTGCCATCCCACAGCACCGATGCTCCGTAAACGAAGACAATGAAAGAATCTGCGACGAACATGTAGTTAGTAAGAACGCTGCGAGTTTCTTGAAGTTAAGAGGAGCACTTCCTAAGGAATGGATCAGTGAATCCTACATGGACCAAAAGCCAACCAAGTCATGAGTGAGTAGTCTCAATTTACTGAGACGGTCACATTCATCCACATCTGCTCGAACAGGTAGGTCAATGTTATGCGGAGCAACGCACCACCAAAGGATCAGGATTGGCGGTGCGGTAAAGGTCAAGAGCAGTAACAACATATCGAGCCTCAAGTACGTTTGGAGGTGCAAAACTTACCCGCCATGATGCAACCCGCAATATTAGAGAACGAAGCAGCTTTGAGGTGGGATATCTAGTAACTCACACCAAAAGTGATTTGTCCAAGAAGCCACACAGCCGCCCCCTTCATATCTCTGGAGATCGGTGGTGTGACTAACTGTAGAGTTTTCGAAGCTACCCACCGATCCAGGAGTAACCGTATTCTGAGCCCTCTACCTTCATTAGCTATACTTGTCAGCTCACAATTCGCTTTACCTAGCACCTGATAGTCCTTCAAGTCTCATTGTTCACGATGGTAACAAAGATACTTTTTCTAAATTCCCGCAGATTCATCGACTTCCTAGATAGCCGGTAACCGGTGTGCTGGCAGTTGGTTGGGCCACAAGCAAAAGATTCAGCGCCATGCATGACAAAATGCATATACCACTAAAGTTCAATATCTTCATAGTGAGAGAAGCATTAATATGAGCGGCAATCTGGAACCCTTGTTAAACAGTCACAGGTCCCGTGCTGTCAACCAAAGTGACTGTTTTCTGCGCTTACTGATTAGGTTCAAGAAAACTCGGGCTGTCCAATGGGACAAGAAAAGAATAGATGCACATATTCCAAAATGATTCTGACCATACATATGGCCACTTAATTGAAACGTGCAGTGACAAGGGTGATTTGAGTCAATGGCTGGACAGCAGTCAAAGGTCGCCAAATGGCACAAGAGTGCACACTGTGACATTAGACAGAGTAGCTTATAAACAGCCGGCGGTTAGTTCACGGTTGCAATAAACGCTCGCCATTTCCCCCGCGTTTAACGTAAATGAGCATCAACATTACACCCAAATGAGCATCTGGGAAATTTAGATGATCCACTGACAAATACGCATCCCTGACAAATAGATGTGTTTCCCAGAGGATTGTACTACGGAGCAGCAGGGCAAATTCATGATAAAAGACATGCTTGGTGGCGTAAATACTGTAGTCAGTTCGCGCGTACTTAGTGCCGCTCTGTACGAAAGCCTCAGTTGAGGTTGTCAAGAAGGCAGTGCACGGACAGCCGTTCTTCTGAATCCAAACAACTTCAAAGACGGTCCCCGAACCCAGAATCCTCAACATCAACAACAGCAGTAAATCGGTCATTTGAACTGATGCTTCGCTGCCATACAATCATAAGAACCCATGAAATAAGAAGAGGAGAGAACGGGGACTTACCTGAAAACCTCAATGCCCCAAGCAAACATTCTGGGTCAGGGCGCCAACACCTTGTGTAGACAACATACGGTCAAAAACAGCTGGCTATCGTGCAAAGATAAGGCGGCATAGGAGAGACCGCATACTTGCGGTTTTAACTGTCCCGCACCATAATCAGCAATTACCACGCGGATAACTCAGCACCAAACACACTTTAAACAGGCAATCCGATTAGGGGACCGCAGCAGACGCACCACTGGTGCCTACTGCGAGCCATATCCTGTAAAGTCTCGAGTCAAGCAAAAGGCGAGTCACGTGGACTCCAGACCGGAAGGCGAGACGGACCAACGGTAGCCAGTTTGGTCGTCAGTGACTTTATTTCACGCTGCCAAGTCAACTTCTGTCCACCTCGAGCACTGCGCCAACCTACACATGGCAGACTAAACAAGGCCCTCCTAGGTAAGCGGTGACCAGGTATGCGTAGCGCGTGCCCGAGCCAACGCAACTTACTCAGTGCTATCTGTTATTCTAGGGAGATAGCATGATTATCACTACCTAGTACTTGCTTACGCACATCATCATTGCGGACACGCTGGTGCCATCCGATACCAGTAATGCTTCGCAGACAACGATGATCAAAGACTTGAAGGCGCGTCAGATCTTCAGACCGAAGGGGCCAAGTCTCACTCCTATAGTGCAGAACGTCCCTCACTTTGGCCTTGTATACACGGACCTTCTGTCGCCAAAGATGCCGCAGGTTCAAGAAAGCACCTCTGGCCTTTCCAATGCGTGAGCTGAAATCAGTCTCTATGCGCCCATCGCTGCTGATGCAGCTACCAAGATAAGTGAACTGATCAACCACCTCGAGTTCCTCATTAGCAAGGGTCGAGGGGTTATAAAGTGGCTGGTGGTCCTGCAGCAGCACTTTGCACTTTGAAGGTGCGAAGTGCATACCAAATAACGAGACCACTCTAGACAGGCTATTCAGGGTTGATCGTCCCGCCGCGACATCGTCGAACAGCAAGACGATATCGTCCGCATAATCAAAATCAAGTAATCGTTCACCAGGAAGCACTTCAACGCCCACATCGTGAGATTCCTCAAGCGAACACTCCGTGATATAGTTCACGACGAAATTGAACAAAAATAGGGGAATCAGACAACCTTGACGAATGCCACTTGTGGTCGGAAAACTATCCGACAGGTCACCGCCAATCCTGACGCGGCCTGTAGTGCTCGAGTATAGAGCACGTAGGATGTTCAAATATTTCATGGGGACACATTTCCGCGCAAGTATTTCGAACAGAACCGATCGATCAACTGAATCGAACGCACTCTTGAAATCGACGAACACGGCTTTTGTCGGTCTGCAATATGCGTGGCGCTGCTCTAGCACCTGCCGCAGAGTAAGTTTACGGTGTTTACAGTCACCTCCTGGACGGAAACCTGCCTCCGCTTCCCTAATACGAGATTCCCGTTCCGCAGTGAGGCGACGAACGATAATCGAGGCAAATAATTTTGCCACAATTGGCGTTAGGCTAATACCCGTGTTGTTAGCACAGTCTGCGCGACTACCCTTCTTGTCTATTGCCACTAGAATCGATTCGCTCCAGTTAACCTGGACACTCTTCATTTCAGATATGTTCGAATTGGGAGGTCAAGACTTTGCAGAGGACCTCACCTCCATCCTTAAATAGTGAAGGTAGGAGTGAATCCTCCATTACTTGAACCCGACTAGTCGACTAGGCTTCCTTGTCAGCACGTAGCCTCTGCTTTAGTTCACGCCTAATAGCCCGTCTGGTCACATTGTGTTCAGAGCCAGCCGGGAGGTATCTTCTGGATTCCAAAAGGTTCACCGACCTCTCGGATATCCAGTGACTGGTGCGGTGACGATGGATAGTGCCACAAGCTGATGCTCCTGCGTCGTGCATGGCGGCCGAGATCCTATTCCAATGAAGCTCAGTGTCATTAGGACAAGACAGCGCAAGTTCGGTATGCAGTGCGTCTTGATAGGCTTGCCTGACCGAAGGCTGAGACAATTTCTCAGTTGCCAATCGGGGGAGACGCTTTGTGCGCCTTCCGGTAAAGTTCATGGAGAAGCGACAGCGTACCAAGGCATGATCAGAGTCTACACAGTTACTGCAGTATGAGCGGCAATACAGGATGGAACCACGCCATCTGTAACTTATGGCTAGATGGTCAATTTGGGTCTATCGCTGGCCAGCTACAGGAGGACGCCAAGTGGCATTTCGGCGCCCACTGTCTAAAAGCAGTGCTACTAAGAAACAACTGGTGCTCCGTACACAGTTGGAGCAGACGCTCACCGTTGTCAGTCCGTTCGGAGTTAAGCGTGTAAGTACTACCCAGCTGAGCTTCTGTAGAGCTCTGACGCCCTACTTGTGTGTTCATGTTCCCTGCAAGTACTATGATATATGAACTAGTGGCATTGCGTAGTAGCGGGTCCAGTTCCTGAGATAATATGTCCTTGCCAACATTCGAGCTGCAGTCGGTGGGAGCATAAGCGGAAATCACAAACAAACAGCGTTTTGCACTACTTCGTGAAGCAACCTTAGTTGATGTCATCAGACGGGCTGCACACAAACGGCTGTCCACCGGAATCCAATCAAACAACAATGGCCTAGCCTTGGAGCTTAGAATGATACCTACACCAGCTTGACTCGTGAGTGATGTATCAGCGTCTCCGGATGGGTACAACTAATAGCGAGAGGACAAGCCGGGCGCAGTTAATTCAACAACCCCGTGATCGTCATTAATTCTAGTTACGGATACACAACATACGTCAATGCCCAGTTTGTCCAACGTGCGTGTGAGTGCAGCCGGTTGACCTTTTTGCCTTAGAATGCGAACGTTGAACGCCGTCAGGGAAACTGGACAGCGTGCCCTTATAAAGGACTGTTGCCGATAGGTGTCCAGTGGGTGTCGCGAGGTGACTACAGATGGTTCTACTCCAGTGGCACTTCGGTTGCTGTTAATTAAGCTAGGAATAATGGAAGGTAGGTTAGTAATGTGGGTCGGGATGGGAGTAAGGGAAACAGGTGGGAAAGAAAGGAGGGAGGCGCCAGCAGTAGCATTTTGCATTTATCCGCCCTGCTGTATGCAACAGATAAGGTGACCCTTGATAATCTGAGTGACGGTCGATGTAGGATGAAGATTGTGTTTGAAGAAAAAGTCATGGTTGTGTGTGTGCTTAGATACTGCCAGGGCGCCCAGACCTAGACAGAAGGACGATTAGGGTCCTCAAGCAAAGCCCTTGACTCAAAAGCCTGTCTGCAAGGCAGCGGGGAGGTGGCAATGATTTAGTTTAACAGGAATGGACGCCATCCCGTTTCACACTCCCAACCTGGAGGACCACTGACCAACCTGGTAGGAGTGGCTCTCAAAGGGCCCGGAGGCACCACCCAGTATAGCTCAATCGGTCAAGGAGGTACACAAACCGTCGCACCAGAATGATTCGTCTTGATCCGCGATTGCGGCACTGATGTTTCAGATGCGTATAATCTACGGTGGGAGGATAAGCCTGGTGCAGTAAAAGGATACACCGTATTGTGGTCCTGTTGAGCAGACGTGTCCTGAGGGGAACCTAACTGCGCCCACACTTGCTCAAGCAGCTGTATGATAAAGTTCGTGCACGTTGTTTTAACCCTTTAAGTCTTGAATTAATTTATCAATAGCTCGACATGAACCAACAAATGTTACTCCACACACTGTAGAGCAACGCACCGGAGTTCTGGCCTTTACTAGCTTGTTGACAGAAGGCTACTGTACGTTGCTCGCGAGTACCGACAAGAATGACGTTTGCACTGAAGCAGTATTACAATTTAAACAAAGTACCGCCAGGACATAAAGTGCTAAAGCTTGTTACGCAGCCATGAAGAAGTAGAAGTTCCGGAAACCGAAAACAAGTGGTAAGGGAACTTGAGCAGGTGGTTCACGGACAAATGAAGGGACAACATATATATGTATGCGGCGGAAAACTAACGAACCTGTCCAAGAGGGTACTTCGGGGGCGCTATGATGGAGGGACCGGTAAACAATTGGGCGGCTGGAGCATATTCACTATTAACTGTAATATGGGATGCGCGTGCAGTGTTCACAGTCAGCTTTGGCGTTTCACAGAGTCCGGTCGATGATTTAGTTGGTGAGGCCGGAGGGTTGATGGAAGATCGTATGAGGAACACGCGAGACAGAACTGTAACAAATACGGAAACAATGCGATGGAGACCAAGTAAGTTAGCCAAAAACACGAGACCTCAAGCGACGAGGCGGGACAGTTGAAACGAGTAAATATCGTCTAAAAAGAACGGCCAAACGATTGACAGGCTGTCCCAGTTTACGACGATTACTTAAAAACGATAACGGATCTAGACGGCAATATCCCAACTTTGATAATGTGAACAGCATGGACAAAAGTACTGGTAGAAAACAGAGATCATCCACTGAGTGGCATTTGGTGTACCCGCTGGGTGGTTGAATTGCGACTCGCAATCTCTATTTAGCCCTCGGTACTCTTTGAAGTAGACCTCGGTGAATACGATCACAAGGACCGTAACCGAATTAGTGGTTCGGTGTTGCTCGTCCCAACCCTGACACCCCATAACCAGTTTCGTCCTCCTTTGGACACATCAGATGGAGATAGCCTGGCTCTAAGATCCGCGAGCAACGCTTGGCACAGCACACACACACACACACACTACGCACGTTAGCTAGAGGTGGGAAACACCTCAGCTACTGTGCCGCAATACATAGAAGAAAAAAGAGAAAAAATGCAACAGGTGCAAGTCAGCTGACCTACCGGTAACGGATGGGCATCGTTCCGGTAAGCTACCTGACGGCTATTATGAAGCAGAAAAAAATAATCTACTATGTAAAATTAAGAAATGCTAAATAATGAGATGGTGGTTGGAGGGGAGGCTAAGACGGATGGAGTGGAACAAAGAAACTCACAGCACGAACGCCAATGAGGTCGGCTCCAAGCCATATCAACAAGTGTATCCAACCAAACGTGTTCATCGTCTTTCGGACCCCAAACCAGGGAGACGAGAAGCTCCAACTGAGGCCAGCACAGAAGTGAGGGACTTCATTCCTCTCGACCAAGTCATCGCTTGGCTACCTCTCCTCTTCTTCCATCCACACTTCCGGCGCGCAAACAACGCACGTCGCGGGAGTCGGTGGGCTGGCCGAGCCATCGGAGCCTGGGGCGGGAAATAACGGTGCTGAGCGGTTCAGATCCTTTTCCTGGACCGTCAACAATGCGTCGAACACGCTCGTTACTCACGCGGTGTTCCCACCAGATGTGAGCTAAATTGCGAAGGCACCGAAGGTCAAACGTAACTAGTCTCTTTATGTCCGTTGATCTAAGGGGCCAGGTTTCACAACCGCACAGTGGGATTTGGTATACCCGCTGGGTGGTTGGATTGCAACTCGCAATCTCTATTCAGGCCTCGGTCTTGTTTGAAGTAGATCTCGGTGATTACGATCACAAGGACCGTAACCGAAGTACTGGTTTGGTGTTGCTCCTCGCAATCCTGACACCGCATAACCGGTTTCGTCCTCCTTTGGACTCATCAGATGGAGATAGCCTGAGCTGGGGTAGACCTCGAGGAATAGGGTTCAAAAGTTGGCGCCTTGACTACTATGACTCTAAGATCCGCGAGCAACGCTTTGCACAGCTCAGGCTATCTCCATATGATGAGTTCAAAAGAGGACAAAACCGGTTATGGGGTGTCAGGGTTGAGAGGAGCAACACCGAACCACCAGATTATCTACTGATTGAGGAAATGTCATTTTCCAACAACGGTGACTTGAGTAATCGTTTTTAGCGACATCAAGAAAGTCCATGTGGCCGTGATACTAATGAAGTGCAGTGTGATGATATGAAAGTAGCGATCAGTGAGTTATCTTAGCCCCTAAATTGCGACGAGTGCATACAGCCAAGCAACGGCAGCATGACACGTGCGCGCGAAACGAAGTTACGCATACTTAAGCAGATGCCTGAAAAAAGTACAGTCCCATACGAACGAGTCTGTCAAGCTGCGGTTACTTGGCCACCGGAGTGCAGAACATTAGTGCATCACTCAAAGACCCAGCCATCAGTCCAGAGGAATGAAGGACTCAGTACTAGCCGCGCGCTTCAATCGCACCAAGCCAACCGCAAGCTAAATCACTACGGTCAATTCCACTACCCACTCGTACACAACACGGTACTGTAAGACTGCGATAATCCTGAAAAGAGCTCAATGAGCAGTGACAATGCGGCTGGAGTTCCAATACAAACATACACGAGATACAATAGCCAGCTAAAAGGTTTTGGACCGCAGCTGCACGTTTGAAAGGTGACGCATTCAGATTTGGTCACTAGTGCGAAACAAGGTCAACCAGATCGGTACAGACCCAGGTGCGTCAAAACCGAACGGAAATTAAAGTGGATCGGGATCCGTCGGAACGCTATGGTCTATAGAGAACGTCAAGTGACAAGTACAGGAGAGGAACAACAAGGCAACTGGAGATCAGTTCGGAAGGGATGAGGACGTAAAGCCAGAAGGTCATCAGTGCCTGACCATTTTTAACCTAGTGGACACGTGTGGCATAGCCAAATGACTGGTTGAGTGGCTTGCACTTGGCTTCACTAGACTGTATTGCCACTAGCTAGCATCCATTCAAAATGGCAATCCAACAATGTTATCTTTTTGTCCGCCCTTTGTTATCGATGTTATGGACTTCAGAGCTTTTCGTGCAGAGTATCTTTCACATCATACTGCACCAGCAATCTACAGACAAAGCAAATTCGAAGTAACTCAGTGTGAGCAACAATAGGAGAGAATACATGGCGGAACTCGTCGGGAAAACGTTGACATTTAGAAAACAGATGCGCTGTGAATATATATATATATATATATATGCAATAGTCTACGAATAGACATAAATCCATCACAAAACATGGGATTCAAAAGAAGGTACAGATATAGTAAAATAAAACACAACACATTAAAGTCCATGGTTTCGTCAGAGGGCGAGATGCTACCCGATTGCCCAAGCCGAAGTAGGGTGTTGACTTAGGGGACACCATCCCGAGCCTTTGGCTGAATAGCCTGCCCGCAAGACAGCGGAGCGAATTCAGGGAATCGCGCCCATTGGGAGCCGGTGACTGATTGCTCAGTTCATAGGCCTTTCGTTTGTTCGTTTGTCAAACAGGGGCCCAATGTTCCCCAGAATTACAGCATAAAGTTGCTGGAATGCAATACTCCGTCAGGATTAAGCAAGGGGCAGTGACTTTATTTAGTGGCGAGTCACGTCCGCCAAGTCACAGTGTCGTTAAACGGACATATGTGGCTTTTTATAGGGAGAACACTTGCCAGGCGAAAACCCACCACGTCCTGGAACACTGCTGCCGAACCATTTGCTGGAACGGGAAAATACCTAACCACCCAGCTGGCACCACGAGGAGGTTGTTCGGCAAGCCAGCGGTAGTGGTCATTCGTCATTTCGAATTAAACGGATCGTGACTAGCCCACTTTCATTGCTGATTGGTGGACCGCAGTGTTGCTGCAATGAAAAAATTGCTGCCCTTCAGCGCTATTGCGTATGTACAAGTAGATGGATTCGAAAGTGATCGAATTGTTGTTGATTCGTCTAACACATCTAATGAAACCCTATAACTGTTGCCTGTCACCAAATCTGAATGACCTGAAGTCACTCTAAATACTATGTGCCAATGTCGGCCTCATTACATTATAATTGTCCGTGCAACTGGTCTGGGCTGTAATGCAGAAACCACAAACACACTCTCTATCAGAGATGCAGACAATGAAACTGAAGCCGAGTATGCGAATACGTACTTCAACAATGGCGAATTAGAAAACCGAGGAACGCTCCTCTGAAGGTATGACAAGTGAAAGATCAACAAACACGAAGAACAACGAATACATTGGAACACCAACATCAATACCACGTTGGAAAGATGCAGCTTGTGATTTCCAAGGCTGACAAGCACAAATGTATTCGTACTTGTGTGGTGAGATATGCAGCGGTCTGCAAAATAAGAGTCCGAAATGTAGTATTGATTTCGAAACGTGTCAAACGTCCGTGGTGTAAAGCCTTCAAGTATTATCCTCATCGCAAAACAGTGGAACAGCTTAGGATTAAGTGAGAACAAGGAGAGAGCACACGACAGGCCAGATAATGGAGGGTGCCATCGCACTGGAATGCATGATGAGAGATGGGACAAAGAGAGAATCCAATCGCCAATGAAATGAGTAGAATTTCAATAATTATGTACGTGTATGCGGCTTAGCAGGCTTATGCGATTGCAAGTTGGCACACCCGGTCGTTCGATTGAGATTCGAAGGTATAGAAGAGGTATTGCCACTGCAGACGGCTACTGATTGCCTGAAGTCTGTAGCCAGAGATAGCATGTAGTCCTAGTTGTGTGCCAAGTGCACGCTAACGAGCTAATCTCTGAGAGAGGATGATGTGAAGATGACCAATAAGTGAGATACTGTAACAAGAAGACAAAGGTGCAAAGCACGGAGGCTCATCCAAAACTACAAGTGTGAAACGTACTGTCGTGGAAGACGGGTTCAACATTGATTCCGTGCAGTGTAGAAGCCTCGTAGTATGGACAGAAATGCATGACAGCGAGTAGCTGGCGAACGCCCGACTCGACATCGGAGGAAATCGACTTGTTAAACGTTTGGTCTAAGACAGAACAGAGAAAAGCAAGGTACATCAACAAGCAAACGGAATAGGGAAAATCCATCCAAGTCACTACTACACATGAGGTGCTCTGGAGTGAAGAAAGAGTATCGGTTATTTTTCTTAATGTTAGCGGTCCTTGCGATGGAAAATGTAGTGAACACTAATCAAGTAGGACAAAATGCCCTTCTTCTATGAATACCATAGTAATAAAGGGTAAGGTGCATCGAATAGCTAACATGTTGAAACACTATTCACGTAGATTAAGTTCAGTTCAATTTGATAAAAACGATTCGTGAACTGAGGTAAGATGTGGTCAAGTGCCTTGATGCGCATTCTCAAAGTAACGATGACAACGACAGCAATAATAATAATTTACAGTGAACTGGCGGGAATTAAAGTCCCCGATAGTTAGTGCTATACTTTGTGGCCGCATCAGAACCAATAGTCACCCCCCCCCCACGGTTACGGCCTATTCCGAAAAGTCCGTCTAAGAAGATGACAAGGATAAAGGTAATCCGGTATTTCGGTGAACTCATACTCTTTCGCCATTTCATTAACAGGCAACTCCGGGGTTTCACCAAATTGGCCACAGAAATGACAAACAGAACAGAGGTGGCCGGCTCGCTTGCATACGGAGCATAGAAATGAGCCACTAAATATTCAATTTCAACGCACACTCAAATGAAGCACCGGAGAATCCGCGACCAAAACGCTAGTGTGACCCAGTCATTCTCTCCTGTCATACATGAGTAATGATTCGGAAGAATCTGTCATTAATGTCTTCAACGCGTAACGGTCAGATCTCTGATTTACAAAGCGATACTGACCGCAGTGCAGCGTTTCAAAGCATTCACCTAACCACCAAGCTTATAATTCGCCGCACCCATAAGTGACGGATGATTTGAACGGTCACAGGTACCTTGGCAATGCGTGCAATATACTCTGCGGTGACGTGATCGACAAAGTCGATCTGGGGAAACAGCTAAATAAGTCGGTCGAATAGCTCGATTGATTGCGATATCATCAGCATAATCTCAGTCGGTCGCGCGCTCACCCGGTAGAAGCCCAAGGCCAAAATGCTGGAATCCTTCTAGAGCATTCGACAGAACGTCTTCGATTGCGAAGTTGAAGAGGAATGGTGACATAGGGTAGCCCTGTCGCACACTACTATTGACAGCAAATCAGTGGAAGAATTGTGCGGAGCATTGTATTGATTAACAGGTGTAATACTTCAAACATTGAAAATGACAAAAAAGAGAAAAATCGGAGTGTGAAAAACAAACTAAAACTGTTTTGTTTTTCTTTTTGTCAAAATACTCCTTTCTTCCTGCGGCATATTAGCTGAAGTATGTTGCTCACATTCAACTACTATACCACGATGATTATGACGCGATGACTGTCCCTTATCCGTTGATCTCCATGGTTTTCTGTTGGCTGTGTTTAGTTGCTAGACTGCTGAGATTACATACATACGAAGTTTGCAGGCGTACTGTTGATGACTGCCAATGACAAGGGTCCTAGTTCACATTAACCTCTTCGATGATCACATCACGTAAGTTTCACCAATAGGAAGTGCTACAGTCCAATCCCCACTCTCCTCGGATCGGTGTGAGTCGGGTTTAGGAAACACCCACATAAGTTAGCGGTGTACCAATATATCTTCGGCTATTCGGCGAGAAGGTGAAGGCGAACGGATAACCCTAGACAAGTTCGGGGTTCGTCTAGTTTTGGGCAAAAATAACAAAACTAATTTACTCAAACGAGGTTCAGAAAATAGCCGCATACGTGGGGTTCCAGTCCGAGCCTCCGTAAGAGTACCGTTAAAAGACCAACTACTTAACCATCGTTTCAGTGCATGCCCCAAAGGAACGCAGCCTGGAGGCCACCGAAGACAGTCTTCATTAGCAGCTGGCATCAATTATCCGTAAGGCGAAGGACTAAGGTAGACTGATCGTTACTGGCGACATGAAGTTTAACAACGAGTTTAGGGATCGATGCTCATCTAGGAGGCCAGTTTGAAATTATCTTTATGTACTGTAGCCCCCTATAAGCGAGTGGAGAACAAGAAGCTTAGTAGCTTGTTAAAACAAGCAGCGGTAATCGCACCGAACTTTACGGTTATTGGCGATTTGAACCTCCCGCATGCAGATTGGGAGCATGTGGTAACGCCGTAGTCGCTATAGAAGGGGTTAATGGAATGGGTGCACGTGAATCCTTTTATCCGGCATGTTAGCTATCTGAATGAAGACACACTGTTGGCTGTTTCCTTTCGACTAGATGTTGTACAGATCAAATATGGCTCTTTCCAGTTACAGAGGCCCAAATCTGTTTTACCTTCACGCTGAATATTATGAGGCTTTCGACAAAATGTCGACTCGTGTAGAGCCTTGGTCGTATCAACACGGGATAGAGTCCCGTAGATCAAATGGGTTCATGAACAAGAGTACACCACGTTAGAGAAGTGGTGGAGGCTAATCAAATGTGGGCTTGTCTAAGTTCTAGATGAGTTTGCTCCATTGCGCGTAAGTGAACCCCACTAGTGGCGTAGGAGAATTGATCGGACAATAAAGAGGCGTAATGCTACATAGAAAAAATTTCAGGAGTCCGGAGGGTTAATGCGCTGTTTGTATTATAAACGATACTGGAATTTAGCAATCAAATTTCAGAGACAATCGAAATACTGCTGTGAGCACAGATTAGCTCAGAATGTAAAAACAAAGCCGAATGTGTATTTCATTATGTTCAATCGAAGGGTCCCTCGAGAGAAGTCGGCAACCTAATGACGTAGGGCAGTCATTAAGTTACAGAAAATGCGGATAAGACGCAGGTGTTGCTGTACATCGTGCGGATAACGGATGTCCTATCACTTTGTAGTCAAACAGTAAAAGGTGGAGTATAATAACAGACACTCCGTTGACTGCATCATGGGCCTATGATATCTTGGTCACACCTGAGAATGCGTATTCTATCACAGTCAAACCATCGGCTGATACGCTCTAATATCCTATTTCGGATCCGTTCGATATGTTACTTCGGGAAGGTAGGCTACCCCAACGCTGGAAGGAGGCAGTTGTTGTGGCGATACTCAAAGAAGAGATCTAAACCCGTACTCAGCAACTGTAGGCCTGTCAACCTCAACAATGCTATGCTCAAGTGGCTGGATTAGGTTATCAGAAACAGATTTTGTGGGCACTTGGTCGCGCATAACTTGATAAGGGCGGAACACCATAGATTCATCAAGAAGTCACGTCTCAACAATCTGTTGTGCTTTTAAACGAAACAACTCGCTGGCTCAAAGATAAAATCTCAGTAGAAGTTTGCTTTCTAGACTCCAGGAGTGCTCTTGATTCCATTAGCCATCGTTTCTTAATGAAGAAGGTGACACGGTATGGGATACATTCCTAACTATGGAAACGGATAGCAGAATTTCTTTACGGGAATCTTGCATGTTAGTGACGCCAGCTCAAGCACAGTCGACGCTCACAGTTGTGCTTCCCGGGGATCTGTGTACCAGGTCCGCTGTTGTTCCCTATGTACACAAATCATGTGGTTCCTTCCCACAAAAAATTGTTTTAACTTTGCGAATGATGTAAAGCTAAGTAACAGGGACAATCGAAACACGTCTAAAAATCAGTGCACTGTAGTGAGACGATCGACCTCGTGGGACTTGCATTTGAATGCCAATAAACGTCAGCTATTGTTTTCCACTAGCGACAGGATTACAGTGCAAGCTCTTCCAGGAATCCTGACATTGAGGCGTGTCAATGAAGTGCGTGGCATTATCGTGACAAATAACTTCAAACCATCAGCATAGGATCAGCGTGCCACCAGTAAGGCGCATCAGGAGCTATTCCGCCTCAAGAGAACGTAGTACATCACTAAGCTTGAATTTTCTTTCCCTTATACAAAGCGGTGATAAGATATCAACTTGGGACAATGTGTGTAGGTTTTAGCGACGTAAATCCGAAAAATTGTTGCTCTTATATAAAGGGTCAGAAAACTGGCGACTAGTATGATTGAGAACTAGAGCGAACAGTTATGATGAACACCGAGGATCGTTTTCACTGGAATGACGCAAATTGAGGCAGCACTTAATAAAAATGCTCAAGATCATGAAGGGGTCTCAGTGGTATCAAGTTCTCTGATATCCTCGAAGTATCTACATTCGATCAACTGCGGAGGCATAAGATTAAGCTTAAGTATCAGAGATCCAGGTTCGAAATAAGGTCGAGGTCATTTGAGAATCGTGTCGTACGCAGTAGGGAAAGGCTTTGCTTTGTTTTATTTGTAGATAGTACGGTACAGATTTTAAAAAAGGACTAGATAGGCGTTGATCGGATCTTGATCCGGAATTTTCGTAAAGGAATTCAAAATTATTGCTGACCTCGTGGTATAACATCCATGAATGCTCCTGTTTTCGTTTTCCTCCTTTTGCAGAGGCAAAAGCCAACGCAAACGTTCAAGTTACGGGGAGTTTAGGTTTGCCTGCCGATAACAGAACTAGGACGCTCGTTAGGCAGGAGCCCATATCGTCTTCCGAATCTGACCTGACCTGACAGATAAGGGTGTTCGGTTTTACCAGTTGTTTGCTGACCGCAGCCATTAAGTTGCCAGCACCGGTTTGTAGCAGAAACGTATGAATTACTTTGCACCCTCTGAACGCAAATGATACCCTGAACCTAATTTCACTATATCGTCAGAAGCCACAAGCACCGTAGGATAAATCTACACTGACGATCGGGTTGTGGCTTGAAACTGAGACCCAATTACGTTCTAGTGCGGCCACGTATGACGCTCACAATCTCTGTTTCGGCGAAGCGTCAAGCTACGAGGTCCCACAATCGTCCCCTGAGTTCACAGTTGAGATGGACTGGCTCATCAGTTGTTACTGAGAAACGAAGTGGATGAGTTGAATGTCGACTGAACCCATTAGAAACATGTTACCAATGAAGTCGAAATCGCCGATTCATCCGAATGTGATTTCTGTAATGAGGACGGACTAACGAGGCGTCGATGAGCTTGAGAAAAGAAACTGGCGAGTAAGTCAGGTATTTGTTTCAGAGCGCTACAAAAGTATTTAGAATTGATCAGAAACGTTGGTAAGTGACGAGGACTCGAGAGATTGAGATGATTAGGACATCCCGGAACAGCTGAGTACTGTTCCAATTCATCCGGAATGCATATCAAGAAAACTTGAGGTTAGAAAGACGATTGTTTAGAAAAGTGGATATCCGCCTCGTTGAAAATCGCATAGCAGCTTGAAAACCAGTACAGCATGCATTACCATTTGTTGAAACATCAGAACTTGGGAGGGACGTCCAATGTCATGTCTCCGACTTGAGAATAGAATAACATGAACCAACTCAGACGAAACAAAACAAGGAAAATAGATGCAACGATTGTGTTCGCTCAATACTGAAAGCTAGAGACAACTAGCTGGGAGCAAGTCTATCCGCTCCAAACAACTCACAGGAAAGCTGTATACTGATTGGTGACTGTCACCTGTCACCGTAATATAAGAAGAAGGTAAAACGCAGAGTAAAGCAAACGCATCCGTATCATGGTCAACGCGCTGAAACTCGAAACCATGCCACCGTCGCGACCTGGGCATCAGCAAATAAGGGAAGGTCAGGCTCGCCAATGCATTGATTATACAGGTACAACCCGATACACTTCATGCTACAATTTGACTTCAAACATTGGGAAAGCTAAAGAAGGAACCACATCTCAACAGAATAAACTGAATTCAGCTATTTCGAGTATTCTCATTAGCTACTTACATACAGGTTGTGGAAATACTAAGTTGCATGTAAAGACATCTAATGTATAGTTCATCGGCGCAAGTTAAGACGGTCAAAGAATCACACGTGTTCCGGTTGGAGAGAAACAAACACTGACCTCACCAGAGCAGAGCGAAGTTGACCACAAAATCTGTCTGTTTGCACAAACTTCGTTTCAGCCGCCGAATCGCCGAAGCTTTGGCAAACTGAAGCAGACGGGGATCTCTTTGTCTGGTAAATAACTCTGAACGATCCATGGGGGTTTTAGCCTACAGCGCAATCGAGCTGGTAGGTAGCTTGAGGCCCTTTGCAACCATGTGAGAAGGAATGTGCACTGCAATCCTGACAGACAGCCTTCTCCTCAGTTCACTCAAAGTGCTTTCTATCGCACATACAGTGAAAAAGATAGACACATGAAGCGATCACTTGAGAGTATGGTCTGTCTAGGTTAGATTTGCATATCAACCTTCTTGTTTGATGCAGTAACATTAGTTCGGCTTCATTACAACATATCCTAATACTTTGGCATAAACGATGCCAACATCTGTCAACTTGGGCCCCTTCAAACGGTAGCGTAATGAGCACCTTTTTCTTAAGGACATCAGTTATTGGTTTCTCCTTGGGTTTTGAGTTTACATGTCGTGTTATAAATCGTTCGGGATAACGGTTCTCCAGTAATGTCGAGGTGACACGCTGAAGTTCACTTTCGATCGTTTCTGGGAAGCAAATCTGACGAGTTCTGATGAACGTGTTACGGACTAAAGCTCATTTGTGGTTCGTCGTATAGAAACTATCAAAAAAGGATACTGTCCTGTCCACGTTGCTTTCCGGAATACAGACCGAATGAGTGTACCATCTGGGTTCCATTGCATATCAACATTTAATGAGTGGAAGTGGCTATTGGATTCGTTTATAATCGTATAGTTGATTGCGGGATGGCCCGTGTTCATTATTGTCCGCAATTGCACCACTCGTGCAGCAGTTCCAACGACGACAAACGTGTCGTGCATATGGTGGCTATAAAATTGCGCATTTTGTATACAAGGACGCAACTGGGTATTTTCCAGTTGACCCATAAGGATATCCGCTAAAATGGCACCCGGTGGACTAAGCGTGGGTACGCCATCAATCTGCCGACACAGTGCCCCATTGATTGAAACTGGATATCTTTTGTTCATAAGCGAATTAACCGTTTATGTTGGGGTGCTGGGAACCCCACTTTGTCAGTATCTCTGCGTTTCTTCCAAGCGGACGTTCGTGAATAGTGAGCGTACATAGAAAGAGATTATATGCTTCCACAATAGGTTTAAATTCCGTATTCTGTCAACAAACTCAAAGGTATCTTTGAGGCTGTAGGCCGTTAGTTCCCTCCTGATAGGCTCGATTAATTTGGCCAACCATCTGGCCAACTTTTGATACGGTGTGCCTATCATTGAAACGACTGGCCGTAGAGCATGCCTTCCTTCTGAGTTCTCAGAGGACCATACATATGACGGAGTCGAGATCCTCGAAGCCACAGTTGTGTCAAAGTTTCTACGTCAACCAATCTCGTCATCAGTGGATTCTTTAATTCACGGACTATTGACTTCCCTACCTGTTCGGTCTTATCGCGGCCTGCCAAATCACGAGCGAAAGGACTAGAATCTGCGAGGACTGTGTGCACTTTATAGATGTGGTCTTGCTTTTCCATTATTAAAACAGCAGACCCCTTATCTGGTCTTAGTATTACCACGTTTGCATTTCGTCGCACTTAGATTAAGGATTCCCAGTGCTCCTTCGTTAGGATATGGCACTTCTCGGTTTCACTAGCACAGAATTGGAATGCAAAACATAGTGTCATATCATCACTATTGCCAGCGCGGCAGGGATCAATCCCGCCAAAGCAGCCTCTAAAACCCAATGGACGGTTGACGACACCGGTGGCTATCACTCCGTCCACATGTCGGGCCATACGGAACTGTAGTTAATAGAAAATCAAGGCAAATAATAAAACGACCCGGAGTCTTCCGACGTAGTACAGCAGGTGCGATCGAGCTTCGATGGCGAATTGCGAACAAACCAATGCCAACATAATCCTTGAAATTTCTGTTGGGTTAAACATACGTCGTAAACACCTCGAGGAGTAACCCCGTCTCGGTACCAACAGAGACCCGATGACAGGTGAGATAATATGTCATCACTGGTACATGTGTGCGCTTGTTAAGACGTACTTGGCTTGTGTCGCACAGCTAGCATCATTAGCGCACTATTGTCTTGACACGTGTAGAAAGCAAAATTAGTGGAAATAATGAAAGTAATTTTGCTTATTAAAATAAGATGTTCGAAATAAGCGAAGTCGTATGTAAGTTTGTGGATTTTCATTTTATCTTCCAAACTGAAAGGATCCCTCCTAGGTGGACCGACTAATCGAGTTGATATATGAAACCAATTGCTTAGAAACCACCTATAGCAATAGAGAAGAGGTATATGAAAGATAACGTACCTTGGATTGCGACCAGTTCGATTGGGATAGAAGATAAGTCGCGTAAGTCACATAACAGCGTGTAGTAACTGCAAACAAGGCGTATGCTCTCTAAATCGCCCAAATCGACCACGAAGATCAATGCATCGATCCAGCTGGCCAACTGTACGTCAGGCGGTCCCGGCTCATCACGGATCAGAAGCAAACATGGCTGTGTCTGAACAAAACATAACTTTTTGAACCTTCCACCTACAAATAAGAAATGATTGAGCTGGTTAAATAAAGCACTAAAGGTAAACTAAGGTATACGACAATGAAGTATGCTTAACGGAGACGAGAAATGAACAGCATCATCCATCATTATACAAACTAGCTAGAGGTGGGGACACCACCGCAACAGAGGCACGCGAGCTGAGCCACTAGTAACGGATGGACATCGTTTCGGAGAGCTAACAGCCCATTGTTGTGCTGCAAAATAGTTATATAATGTAGCAGAAATGAGATCGGAGTTGGATGGAAAGGCTAAACGGGAAGGGACCAAAATACTCATAACATAAAGACCACCGAGGTGGTCCTCGAGTTATATAAACAGGTGTATCCAAGCAAACGTGTCCGTCTTCTCTGTGCCGCAACCAGGGAGCCGAGATGTACCAACAGAGGCCAAATATAAACAACGGCCTTCACTCTTCTTCTTTCATCCACACTCCCGGCGAGCAAACAATGCACGTCGCAGGAGCCGGTGAGTTGGCATGAGCAGCAAGGTGGCCCAGCTATCAAAGCCTGGTACGTGAAATAACGGTGCTGAGCGGTTCTCCACTTCCTGTGCCATAAACAAGGCGTCGAACATGTTCATTGCGTTCACCTATGCTGTTCTAACGACAGCTACGTGCGTTAATCGATATTTAGGTAAAGTGGTAACAACAGAGATTCTAAGGGCCCAAATATAGTCACTCAGTGTTCATGGTGCATCAGACCGAGCCGTGGCCGGAAGGACAAGGCATATGCTTTGCAGTACGGATGTAGCGGGTTCGAGCCTGCGAAGGGGACGCGCAACCCTTGCAGTATCCTTATGCTTCGCGCAACCGGTGTTGGTTGCGTGGCAGCTCGACATATTTGAATATGAGCAGTAGAAGAAAATTCGGCGGCGCAGTTGGGTACATATATATGGTTGGCGGCATCCGGTTTCGGATTTGGCTGTCACTGTGGCAAGCCACAGGATGCCTGCGCCTACAGAGGGACCATGGATGGCTTGCGCTGCACCACCCACAGCTCCAACCACACACCCCATATCCAGTGTAAACCCGAAGAAATAAGACCGGGAGGCATGCGGATGGGAACCACGTTTCATCAACGGAGCCGGCCCACACTCCTTCACAGGCAAACACAAGCACGCTGTATTTGGGGAATCAAGCGCACACAAGGACGGTGGCTGGACCGTAGTCCGCTCCACACTGAGTGCATGGAACCGCTCTTTGAGCCTAGCACGGCCACAAGAACCGTGCACCCCGTCCCCTCCAGCAACGACCAACTGTCTCCTGCAGCCAGTATGAACGATGTAGTGGGTAATAGACAGGTAGGCACCTTGTCAACATACACATCAAGCGCAGCCACACTGGGGATATCAAACAACAGCCATTCACTTTAAACGACAAGCTGAAATAAAATAAATCCAATAATGCATACAGATACGGTGGCATAACTCTTCGCTGAATTACCAGATGAAGTAAGTTGGTCAGCAACAAATCCGTGATAAGTAAGAAATGTCCACAAGTTACTTAAAATGCTACAAACGCAACAAAATTACCGAAGATAAGCGCAATTAGTGTAAGCAACGTGGCCAGTTAATAGAACATTATTCAGAGAGGCAGAACAAACCAAATAAAGCGGAATGAAATTTATCCAGCTTAAAAAGACCTAGTTTAAACTAGGGTATATATATATATATATATATATATATATATATGTATATATGTTACGGTTGGGTATATTCGAGAGATGACGAGTGGCCGCACCAAATCAAATCTCGCGACTATTTTGTGGATTATTCCTCACTATCTTACTGCTCGTCAGCTAGCCTGCATTCATTCCACTCGGATTTATCAGCTCCACAACGTTGAGATAAAGTTGTCAGACTATTCCTAACACTGCAACATACTTTCGGCAATTTGGACGGATGTCATGGGAATTCAAGCGCGAAACTCCAACTTCTTGTTGGATTTTTTTTACTCACACTCGAGCTTTTTCCAGGCTACGCAATTCGCCTAAACTTGTGCTTAGCCAATACCGTGTCTGGTCGCTGGATCATACGTTGCAGCCACAAACTCACTGATGTCAATCTAACCGCGCCAAGCGGTTTGTCGCATCCGCTGTTGATCGGAAATCGACGCAGCGTCTATTCACACTCTGTGTACCTAACCTGCGTCAATCTAGCGCCAACTCGCCTGCCGACTTCAAAGGACAAGTTGTCCGAGCTGGTGCGCGCGTGAGTACAATTTTTCGTGTGCGTGTAGACACATATCTCAATCCATCTCCAGAGCCTATCCAGCAGGATTCAACATCGCGACTGGCCAAGATGCGCGAATCGACACATTCATTGAATTGCTAGCAGTGTCTATTATCGACAAACGTAACTGTGGAATCTAACAGACCTGTCAAACCCCAACTGCGAGAAAGCACACAAGGTTGGTTTTCATTGCATTATCTCACCTTGGTGTCTGAGTCTGAACTCTGACAAGCTTAGATCGCAATGGCCTCACCGAAGTCTCGCCGTATTCGGCAAGCTAAGTATAGTGTACTTTCCAGGCTACCAGCAAAGTGAATAAAATACGAGACCCCAAAGGGAAAGCGAATATGTTCCTTTGCAAACAATAACCTTATTTATGAACCAAATGATAAACTGCTATCTTTGTAATAACAACTAAATGAGATGAGAAAAGCGCTGGCACTGTTTGAACCCAGCAAAGATCACCTGAGTTCGCTCGACTACATAAGTAACTCATTGGAAAAGGTTAATCCTGTTCTAACTGATAAAGCAGGGCAGCTAATTGTCTCTGTTGCCTCCGAAGTGCGTGAACGAATGTGTAGAGTAAAATGTGATTATTTTGAACGTTCCGGACAAGTTGGGTCTGGACAAGGTAAAAGTAACGATACTGAGAGCTTATAACATGATAGATGTCGACTACAAATGCCAACGTTTAAAAAATAAAACATTGAAACATTATTGCCCTATCATTTACAAACTTTTGAGCGGGGAAGCTGCGCAGCGATTCCGCCATTGTGGACTCATGCTGGTAAGGCATATCCAGTTTAAACTAGATAGGATACCTCTACAACAGTTGGAAATTTGTACTGTGCCGCGAACATAGGAAAAAATAAGTAGGCTCTTCGAGAAATCCCAGTCAAATGTCCAAAAGATGTATGCATCCAAGGTGGATAGTAGATGCATTGTCAACTAGCTAAAACCTATCCTTCTTTGCCCCAATGAAAGGCCTACAAATAAATGAACGGATAAAGCGGGTTCTCCTATTCCTGACAACGGCATTTTCATTAAACTGAACTCCTTATGTATAAGAAGAAAAGTCTAGGTGCTCGAAATAGTGGTTCAAGGACAATCTGTTCTAAACGACTAAGGCATATCCAAGGATAGACAAATTGAGATAATTCATAATTCCCTGTCGTCTACGGAGGGCTCATCCAATCCAGGGACCAGTGTCTTCAAAAGGCGTGTGACTACGAAATACTCGGCTGTACCCAAAACCCGATCGACTAACGTCCTCCAACCACCAGGGCAAAAAACTTTCCCTGTTGAATAGCGTCAATAACAGCTGTCTCTTGGCTACGCCATTTTCTCATCCTACACTCTACAACAATCACTGGAAGTACACAGGTAATGGAAGGACATCGGCCAGTAGGACTATGTTACCCCCTGCTCCGTTCCATGTTCCTTCAACCTCTCAAGCGGCTTCATACAACCACCATCTTTTAACGGCGACGAGAATGGACTCGCATCCATTCGCATCTCAGATACATCAGGCGGAGGTCAACGTCTTGATCCCACTCTTCATCCAATTTGTCCAGATGACAAAGCTAATCCACTGTCAAACCAATGGCAACCTAAGCATGTTGTCTCGGTTCCCTTTGTGCCCCAGCCGTCTCGACATTGACACATGACATGCTGCCCTTACCAACAAAAATTCTAATGGCTAAATAGGGTGTACCATATTTGCACTCACCTACCATGTGCACCATGCCCGAACCCAAACACTTAGGCGATCATGCAACAGACAGCGATAATTCCCCAACAGATGGCATATTTCCAGTGATTCTGCTCAATCTTAAATCGATAATCAACAAGTTAATTTTATAAACTAGGTTGCACAGTTCAATAATCCACAAAGCGATCTCCGTCATTGAAACACGGTGTCCTTCAGATACACTCGACGCTATTCTGATGATTCCAAACTACAACCTGTTTCGAAAAAATCGCACGCAGATAATGTGCACAAAACATTTAAGGATAGACGCATAGATCACACATAGAAAGAAAATGTCCCCGAATCCATTTAATAGTCAGATAAAGGTGCCTCATCTTACGTACTGCTCGCCTGTAGCTACAACCCACCGAATGCGCCCGACGTGAGTATCACCAACATCAATTCTGCACTGATTTCGCATCAGGATTGTAAAACAGCCAGAAGATGATTACCGGTGATTTCAACTTACCGATGATATGCTGGTCATCCCACCCAGTTTCAAGCATGCACACTAGGTTTCTTTCATCCATCAGCGAAGGGGCAGGACACAATGTGTTGCCAATGCACTGGACTTAATGTTTACATTAGGTATACTCAACCCACAGACCAGCCATAAAATGATCCGACTCAATTTCCACATTAACAGGGTCGCAAAACTCGCCTCTACACCGCGACGTGCAACCCAAAAGATAAACTTTCATCAGTTAATTCGGTTCGTTGACTGTGATGTATTCTTCCTCTCTACCAGTGTGTAGACCGCTGCGGAGCAGTTTTATAAAGAAATTCACCACATTATAGCCCTCCCTGCTACACAATGTGTTCAAATTCCTCACGTCGTCAAAGATGTCGTCGAACATTAAATTAGCCAGAAAATCAGAAAATTAGCTGCAAGGTACAGAAAGACCCATGACTTTTCACTTATCTTACAAATGCACAAATTTACCACCAGAATCAAAGATAGGCAGTTAACACGAGGAACAGGCTGCAAGGTAAGGG